TTGTAGACGTCTTGGAGGGGGAGACGGAGGGGCTTGTCCGTGGGGCGCTTGGGGGGCGAGATGGCGTCAAGAGCCTCAATGAGGGTCTTGCCGGAGGCGTTGCCCTCCTTGCGCTCGATAGTCCATCCCTTGAACCAGGGCATGTTCTCGGAGGCCTCGAGCATGTTGTCGCCGTGCCAGCCAGAGATGGGGACGAAAGCGACGGTCTTGGGGTCGTAGCCGATCTTCTTGATGTAGTTCGAGACCTCAGTGACGATTTCGTTGTAACGCTCCTCAGCGAACTTGATCGAGTCCATCTTGTTGATGCCGACAATCAGCTGCTTGACACCGAGGGTGTAGGCGAGCAGGGCGTGCTCACGGGTCTGGCCGTCCTTGGAGATGCCAGCCTCGAACTCACCAGTGCCGGCGGCAACGATGAGGACGGCGCAGTCAGCCTGCGAGGTACCGGTGATCATGTTCTTGATGAAATCGCGGTGGCCGGGGGCGTCAATGATGGTGACGTAGAACTTGGAGGTCTCGAACTTCCAGAGGGCAATGTCGATGGTGATGCCACGCTCGCGCTCAGCCTTGAGCTTGTCGAGGACCCAGGCGTACTTGAAAGAGCCCTTGCCCATTTCCTGAGCTTCCTTCTCGAACTTCTCGATGGTGCGCTTGTCGATACCACCGCACTTGTAGATGAGGTGACCAGTCGAGGTCGACTTGCCGGAATCGACGTGGCCGATAACGACGATGTTAATGTGAGTCTTCTCCTTGCCCATTGTGAAAGGTTTGTGGTTTTCTGTCGAGCGAAAAAGGAACAGAAAAGAATGACAAAAAAAAAAATGAAGAGTGAGTTTTTGCAAGTCGAGTTCAGCGATTTTAAAAACAAAGCTTTGTGTTGTGAGATGATGGATGATGCAATTTGGAAAAGTGCGTTGAAAGAAAAGAAGAAGGAAAAAACAACAAGGAAAAAAAAGGAAATAGAGAGACATGTGGCAACAGCGCAACAAGTTGAGCAATATTGCTCAATCGAACAGTCACTGCAGCAAAACCCACAGAAGAAGAAGAAGAAGACGAAAGAAGAACGTTGAGAGAGTGGGAAAGAGAGAGACGGAGAGAGAGAGGAAAACGGAATGTGGAAGGAAGAGGATGTGGAAAAAAAAAAAAGACATGTGGAACCGAGTGATGAAGCCACTCGACAGACACGGTCGCTGAGAAGCGAACAAGAAGAAAGCATGGTGAACGCAAGCGAAGTGGTTGTCGAAGAGCGACAAGACGCAAAGGCGCAATGAAGAAGAAGGCACAGTGAAAACAGAAAGAAAAAAAAAAAGGCGCACAGCTTGCGTAACTGTGCACAAACTGCACCCCGTTTTCCGCCTGCATCGTCCATTGCAGCACACTGCGTTCGGAGTGGAATCCGATGTGCAGTGATGTGCTCTATCGGATGCAGGTGGAGCGGAGCGGTTTGGGCAAGAGGGGATGGGGGAAGAAGGGGGTGGAAAGGGACACGAGGGGAAAGTGTGCAAAACGAACCTGAACGAATGACCCGATTCTAAATTTGGGGGAAGGGTTCTTTTGAGTCAAACCGAGCAAAAACAATCAGGCGGAACGGTGAGAGGCAGAAGGAGCAACTGGACGAGGATGAAGGCATTGCATTGTTGCGCGAGATCGTGAAACGCTGGCGAGGCGTTGGATTGGCTGAGCAATCGAGTGAAGCTGACTGTGCAGTCAAGCAGCGCTCGCTACCGCATCGATCATTCAACAATACTCATAGACGACATCACACCTTGATGTGGTCAGCTTGTATTATATTGGGTTTGCTCAGTCCCACTTCAACCGCCCTCACCTTGAGGTCGGCTCGAACGTTCGCTCGCTGCTGCACCTCTCCCCCCCACCGATTGTTGTTCACGAACAAACACACACTTACACACACACATACATCCACACATTCCCGCCTCCCATATGCACGACCATGCCTCGAATCAAGGTGCGAGGTCGTCGGTACGCTGCTGACGATGGCAAACCCTCCTCGTCGGAGCAACACATCGCCTGGGACGAGTCGCGCCGCACTGTGCGCCGGGCAGATGCGCAGGATGGACTGCCGCAACGCTTGCCCGTCCGGTACTCCCCCGTGGACGTCCGAGTCTTGTCGGGCTTGCTGCGGAGGTCGCGTGGCCTGCACTACCAGCCGCGGATCAGACTGCCGCCAAGACTCGGAGGAGCACGCCGCAGGAAGCTCGTCGCCAAGCTGGCTCAGGAGCGCAAAGACATCACGTTCCTGCGTCGTCGCACTGCACGGTTGCGACGAGCCGCCCGGAAAGCAGTCGCGCGTGTCGCACTCGAGGGAACGGTGCCAGAGCTGGACGAGCTCCTGCGCGGCGTCTACCCGCGAAACCGCGAGCGCATTGTCAATTTCAACAGCAGAGTGGGTCCGCTGGCACCGCTGCACCTCGCTGCGCAGCGTGGGAATGCGGGCATGGTCGCAGCGCTGCGCAAGGCCGGGGCAGACGCCAATCTGCCAGACGACGTTCGGTTTGATTGGGCGACACCGCTGCACCACGCCGTTCGCATGGGCCACTTGCATATCGCCTCGCTTCTACTCACGACGAGATACGTGCGAGACACGCGCGGGGAGCCGCAGCCCCTTCGCAGCAGGTCGCATCCGGGCGCAGCAATCGATGCGCGAGGCGTGGATCTGGCACAGCCCGCTCGTGCCGACGTGGTGGATGGTCGAGGTGTCACGCCATTGATGGTGGCATGCCTGAAGGGCGATGTCGCCATGGCGAGACTGCTCCTAGAGCACGGCGCGAGTGTGCACGCCGTTTCGCGCTTTGAGTATCTGCAACAGCGAACGTTGCGCTTCTCGGGAAACGCGTTTCTCGGTGGCGCCGCTGGCCGACGCACGGGAAACGTCTCGCTCGAGTATGCACGACCGTTTCCGGCGTCCACGCCGCTGCACAACGCCGCCAGGTCGGGCTCGGTGGAGCTGGTGCGGCTCTTGCTGGCTCGTGGCGCCTCCCACGCCGCCCAAGACTTTGAAGGCCGCGATGCACTCATGTCTGCAGCACAGTTTGGCCATGTCGACGTTGTTCGCGCATTGCTGCAGGCCGGCGCAGTCCCCACCAATTTAAGCACGGCACAGCCAGAGTTTTTGCGCATTCGCCGTGACACGTACGGTGGCTCAGCCCTGCATGCTGCC